AAGAACAGACCTGCATATTTTGTGTGTGACTTTTATTGCTGGGAAATATTATTTGTGGACTTGGACATTGCTGATAAACACAAGTTGAGGGTTCAGGACCCTTAGGCCGCAAACGGCCGATTGTGCTGTAAACTTATTTCACTAAAAACCTGATATTTGTGCTGGGGTCTGAGGACCTCTCACATGTACCACCTGGCAACCACTTGAGTACCACCAGTTTTATGTTTATACCATTCTTTGAAAAGCCTTGACCTGCAGTATTGGTCATCACATTAAAGAACATGAACGGCAGGTGTAAAAGATAACATATGTGGGTGAGGATTAAATAAAAAGCACATCTAAAATGGGAACAATGTCATGAAACAATATGAATCACACGAAAATTATATGAGTGAGACCTCCTGGCTCAAGCCTAATTTATGCCTATTTTATTATACAGAAACAAATAGGGACACATTCTATGCTGAAACCACCATCAGGGACGCCTCAACATGCACATCTGCATGGAGCTGTTCCTCAAATGTGTTTGATGCTGCAAAACAGATTTGCTTTGGTGGGCCACCAGGAATGAACCTAGCTTGTGATGTACGTATGCAACGTTCTTTATGCCATCCTTTTCATCAGGCAAAACATGTTTTGTCCATGCAGTCTGTCCAGGAGTTCTTTCGTATTGTTGTTACTTTTTTCTGTGTTGTGAATACAGGGTGACATTGGAGGCCCATTGGTGATTGGAAAAGGTCTATCTGCCATTCTGGTGGGCATTATTTCCTTCACTGACAAAACTGATGATCCCATCTGTGATACATGTATTGCACTTACAACCACCCCAACCACTACTACAGCTGTGCCAACCACCACTACAGCAGTGCCAACCACCACTACAGCAGTGCCAACCACCACTACAGCTGTGCCAACCACTCACACCACTACAACAATGCCAGCAGTGCCAACAACCATGATGATGACCTCATCAACTTCCATGACAGCAACAGCAGTCACTGGAACAAGCACAGCCAAATCTTCACCAACCTCAACACCTTTGACATCCAGAAAAACAGACCCAGCAGTTCCAGGACAAGAACCAAGTAAAACTGGTGCAATGACTTCCTGTCTAAGCTGGCTGTGGAACCAACTGGTCTGGAAAACATCAGAGCGGATGACCCCTGCTGCTGCCAGAGTTAAACGTTCCCCACGTCAGGCAAGATCTGGTCCATTTTGTTGCACCAATAAGCCAGCAGTTGCCACCAGTGTCACTGCTTATTTTGAATGGATAGAAACAGCCAAAGCAGCTCTTTTGGAGGGATGATGCGAGACTCATGCAGCAGTTGTTACTCAATTTATTCAAAAGATTATCCAAAAGCTCCAAATAATCATGATCAATCGTAGAGCAGTGTTGTATTTCCATTTGTTTTCTGGATCCCATTGCGAATGTATGCACAGAAAAATCCTGTGATTTTTAAAAAATTAATAATTCTTCTAAATCAATTTACTACAGAGAGAATAGTTTAAAGAAATAATAGGATTTGGCTCCATTCGAAAATACAGAGATAATCTTGTCTTCTTACCAAAATTTGCTGGTATGACAGCACCTTCATTGAATCCTGCAGGGGCAAATTTTACTTTGAACATGAATAACTTTTTTGTTTGCTATCCTGAGATCCACTATCTCTTTCAAGATTACCCACAGAAAAAATCTGTTGAAGAAAAAGAAGATGCATTTCTTCATGCATCCATAATTTTATTGTTGAGTACAGCTACCATATGGACAGTTATGCAAGGATTTTGACCTGGACAATGACCAAGGACCATGATTTGAAGTTTGGATTGGCCTTATGCTAGATTTGGCTTTCTTTGTGCAGTGTTGTTCAATGTCTTGTATTTGTTTTGGACATTCCCTATGTGTGAATATAATTGGTTGGTTATTGCAGCACTGAGATTTGTGTGTGAAATGCAAGAAAAGCCTCAGGAGTTAGGAATCATGCCTTGGATTATCATTATTCTTCAGGTCATAAAATAGTGTCTGATCTATTTTGAAATCATTACAGATGTCACTCACTTTTTTTTACTGTTTTGCAACCAGTTTTGTCAGTGGTTCCTGCAGCTATTGTTGAGTGACTTTGGGAGTTTCAAGTGGATTTTCTACTATTGAAAAAAGTGAGTACTGTATATGCTCCAATAAATGCCCCGGCGTTTATTTGCAATTTTCAATTTTTTCCCCAGGCGTTTAATAGATACAGGCATCTTTTAGAGACCAGCGATTATTGCCAACAGTTGTTGCTGGGTAATGTCAGGAGAAGAAAAAAAGGAAAAACAGGAGAATGAATTTTGGGGGAAACCTTGGATTTGCCATTGTTTATTAGAAACTGAGACAGGAATGCTTCATAAAATGCTGGAGGGAAAGGAATCCTTTGTTTTATACTTAAGACCAAGGTGTGAAGGAAGGGTCAAAATGTGGGAAGGATTATTACAGGTCAAGAAAATTCCGGGAATTTGTCCTTACCCACCCCCTCCCCAAATAGTAGCTGGGTCTCTTCTTGGACCTGGCTACTATTGGAAGCCAGCTACTATTCACTTGTATCCCCTCTGTGACCCGGCGTTTATAAGAGACCAGCTTCTATTAGATAGAAGGCGTCTATTAGAGCAAATACGGTATTTGAAAGTTTCAAAATCTCAAAGCGATGAAAAATATAAAATGTGTTCTTTCTCAATTTTTCACAGATGGCATTCCTTGGACTGGTTGTGTTATTGGGGCTCTTGCTGATGGTGTTGGGTGGATAGAGGCTGATTGCCACATCAGCAAACTTCTGTGGAGACAATAAGGGGCAAGCAGTGGCTTTCAGACAGGAGGCAACATTCATTGCCCATCAGTTGCTGTTGTTGGATGGCATGCCCCACGCTGGACTGCAGGTTTGGTTTCCAGAAAGTATGAAAGGAAACTTTGGTGCCTAAGGGATACTTTTTGTGGGTTTTTTTGCAGAGGGTGAATGTGGGGTATCTGGTGATGTGTATTGGATGTCAAGAAGGCATGGACCAGGTGGTTGTGCCATGGGTATGGTAGACCTATAAGACTGCTATACCAACAGGTTAGCTGGCATTTTTCCAATTTTCAGCAAAACAAACAGCAACAGAAAGTAGACTGTAGGAGAGACAGTAGAACAACACATATAACACACTAATGCTTTCCTTTCCTATTTTTCTTTGGAGTTTTCTTTTTCACACAAAAGACAGAAGCACAGAACATTTAAATTACTTTTTGACTGACCATTCTTACTATATTATTATCTTTTCAGTGGCTACACAAAAATTATTCAACTGTGG